CTGGGTTTAAAAAAACTCTATATTTTTTTTAATGTGAAAAGGTGTAAGGAAAAAAAAAAAAGGGGGGGGGGGGGAAGTAGATAAGTAAATGTGTACACAGCATGGGAAATATTATAGGAAAGCGCTAATAGAAAAAACCTTTGCTGACAACTTTAGCTTCCAGCCGTATCCCATAGCTAAAATTAGGCTGAGGTTGAAAAGCCCCTGTACAAAGCGTGCATGGAGCTTGCCTGCACACAGCAGGACTGCCAGCTCCCCACTCTCTGTATGGGGACACAACTGAATTTGAGCAAGGGGGAGTCTTTTCTGCTGGAAGACAACACACCGTGCCTTTGTTCTTAGGCACACACATGCCTGTATGAAAGACATCGTGCTTTTAAATCGAGACATGCAAACCAGCCACAGAGCCCTTGCATTGCACAGGTTGCGTGCCAGCTGGGCACTCCACAGCATAGTGTTTGTGTGGATGACAGCAAACCACCATGCTCTTGCCCTCAGCTACAGACATGAAGTCATGAGATGCTCTGTAGGGGCATCCAAAGGCAGATTTAATATCAGGGGAGAAAATAAAAGGAGAAGTTTTTGCCTACTGAAGCATGCATGCAACAAGTAAATTGGCCTCTAGATTATTACCTTCTATACAACCCCCAAAAGGAAAACAACACAGCAGCAAGAAGACCACAGAGTCCCCATCTACTCTGAGGTGGACCAGCCTTGGTCTAAACAAGATCCAGTCTAGCTCCCTGAGGTCTGTGCCCACTGCTCTGCTTCATCCCGTATATGTATATGTATGAGCAAGATAACTTCCCACGTTATCCCGTATATGCATACGTATGAGCAAGATAACTTCCCACGTCAAACACAACTTGAGTGTTGCCTTGTACAAGTCCAAAGAAGCATCCTCCCTGTCAAACTGTAACTAGTTTCTCGCTGTTCACCGAAGGAAAAGGTTGATCTAACACACTGAGGAAAAAACACAGGCAGACAAAATCTCCAGGGAACCACAGTCCCCAAGGGCTGGCTGCAATGAAAAGGGGAGAGGGAAGGTCTACCAAGCCCTCGTACTCTGAAACTCTATGGAGCCACAACCAGCCCAGCTCAGACCACACAACAGCTATGGCACCACCTAAAGCCAGGCTACCGCAAGCCATGTTACCCAAACCTTCGGGCTACGGGAGTGATGCTGCCGCAGTGCAGTCCTGGCCGTGGCAGTCCCCGGGCACAGAGGACGGCAGTAGGGACAGGCAGCCAACAGGGATGGCCTTGTCTCCAGCCCACTGACCACACTCCCAAGTGCTCTGTAAACAGACAAACTCCAGCCAGCCCCAGAGCTATACATTTTCCTGGTATCCTCCCTTTGCTCCCAGTGCTTTTTAAAATCGTTTTAAGTTTTTCCCACACTTCTGCTATGAATTATAAAACCCTGCTTGGTGCAGACAGGATAAGCACTGGGAAGTCATGCTGTGTTATCACCTACATGGCTCCGTCCTTCAGAGTCCTGCTGACTCTCTACAGCTCCCAGGTGGATACTATGCATTTCAAGAACAGCAAGGTAAAATGATTTTAGTCCACAGTTGCAAGTGGCTTAGCGTTTGGAAAAGTTTTTGAACACTTGAGAGTATAAAGCCTCTTAGAATAGCTTGTTATAAGGCAGACTGCATTTTGCCTGCTCTAAGGAGGTTTTGCCTATTTTGCCTGCTGTAAAAAGACTCAGCAGGGTTGGGAAAAATCTGTTAACAGTCACCACAGCCTTAAAATATTTTCCCCACTGTTGCACTATGAATGATCCAGTGATTCACCCAGAACATCTGAAAGCTAAACAACAAAAATAATACAGTCCAGAGTTTTCTTGTAGGGCTCGAAAGGAGCTCCCTGGAGCACCTGGGATCCTGCGTTGCTGTGCTCTGGTCCCTTCCCAAACTGCTGGTGACCACCTCCTTGCAGAGAAGAGCAGCATTGCTACCCATAGGTAAAACACTGTGCAATAGCTGCTCAAGAACAAGTTTACTCGAAGCTGCCATTGCAGCTCTCTAATGGACACCAGGAGTCATCCTGACCTCCCTTCAGGAGGAACCTGAAGGGTTCTTGTCATAGGACACACTACCCCAGCTTCTGGCTGAAGCTGCATCTTGTCGAGCCACCGTGCAGCCAGCTACGGCAGCGCTTGGCACCGGACGATCCAGAGCAGCCAAACGTGTTGCACTTGGGATGATCTGAAGAATGTGATTTTTCCTTGAGGGGAAAAAAAGAGCAATAAGAAAAAAACCTGGGGGAGATATGATGAGCAAAGGCATCAGCACTCTCCAAGGCTCAGCCCACTTCTCTGCACTTTCAGAGAAAGTCCGTCAGCTATTATTTGTCTCATCTTACCAACTCCTTAATGCAACCTGCTCACTGCCACTGTGTCTTTCAGGTGCAGATGGAGAGGGCCGGGAGATCTATCTTTCTCTGACTCTTCATTTCAAAAGCAGCCATCGCTCCTGGTTGCCAGCGGTGTGACAGAAATATTAAACCACACGCAATAATCAGGGCTACCAGGGCAGCTCTTCTGCAACACGTTATCAGCCAACAGCACAGGCACTTTACTGCTTTATGCTCGTCTATACAGACACTGGAAAAAAGCAAACTCTTTAAATTCACGGCAGGAATTAGAGTATCTTTCCCCATTATTGACTCCGCAATCAAAACAGAGCAAGGATAGAAATATTAAAGTGTATCTTGTTCTCTTATTTTTTCAAGCTGCAGCTCTTACTTCAAATGTTCCCATGAATTTTCCTCAATACACGTTAATCGCAGCTTCATTTTTCAAAGCAGCAAGGTCTGAGTAACTATCTCACGGTGTCATCTAATATATCTGCATCTGCTCCTTCTCACATCTTTCTTCTGCAAAGTTTAACTGAAAGGCTAATTCATTCCCCCACTTCTGACATTGTTTTTTCATTGTTATGGGGCCGAAGAATTCAAATGAGGTCCTTTATGTGCTGATAAAAATACAAATATTCTGTAGACAAGCGGGAAAAAATAAACTGTATGTCAAATTAAATGAGCAATTTTTCAAGACGTTTATGGAGTGGAAGATATTCTGAACGTCTCTGACCACACTCTGTAACAGAATAACCAGAGGAAGAGCGACTTGGTAACACGGGAGAGTTTACACAGCAGAAGACAGCAGTAAGACCACATATATTTTGGCATCCGCCTCTGCAAAAGCCTCTCGGCAGCCAGAAACGCCAGACTGGTGCAAAGGAGCCAGTTTTGCATCTCATGTGTGGAATGTGCACATTTGTCTTCTCTTTCTACTATAATAGTGCAAAAGTCCACATTTACGAAAAAACTTGAAAGCAGAGAAAATGGTTCATGGCAGTGGGAGGGATGGAGATGGCAAGTGGCTGCACCGGCCTCGGTGTCTGACTGCAATACTGCTGCTTTTTGGAATACAAAGGTGACGCTATGCTCGACTAGGTGATTTTCAAAGTACTCTGGAGAGGGAACAGAATATAGCTTAGCTCTGTAACAGCCTATGTTGAATACAGATATTGAATATGGATATTTTTATTATTTAATCCTGTGCATACTCAAACTCCAGAGCAGTTTGACACCATGAAGTTATAGCATTTCCTTAAGGGAAATGACAGCTTGTACATATGAAAACTACTGAGACATTTATTTTCTGGAGAGTTTGGCAAAACACATCATTCTGCCCTGATATAAATAGGCTACCTATAAATAGCCACAGCCTGTACCTGCCATGCTTCTCCATATACCTATATAAGACTGAAGACTTTTTTTTTTAAATACACCACTCAAATTACTTTCTCAAGCCTGCCACCCAGTTTTCTCCTGTGAGTACTGTATTTTTCCCAGCAAACAGGGTTTTTTTTCCCCATGACAAACATACAAAGTGAAGAAGTTATGAACAGGAATGGTAAGAAAATGTGAACAATGTGAGAATGGTATCAGACAAATTTACTAGGATGTAAGCAACAGAAAGCCCCAAGCCACATACACTTAAATTCAACTGGAAAACAAAGTTACCAACTAGTTCCTTTCAAAAAGGATGAGTTGAAAAACCCCACAATCTGTCATCCCACACTAAAACTTGCAGCCTCCAGTTAACAATTTAAGGAAGTAAAAATTAATCCCAGCAATAGTAAGCCTAAAGATGCTTAATGAAAATGCATGAACCTGCATTGAACACCATCCAGCCGTTAGCAAACCTGAAATAAAATATCCAAATTTTGGATGAGAACAACTTTCCTGAAATTAATTCACCAGCTGGAATCTCAAGTATTGGCAACAGAAAGAAGGCGTCTGCATCAAAAATCCAAGACTTGGTGCAAAAATTGTTATCCATAAATCAGATTTACTTTTATTACCCTCCTTCTAAAGTCCTGTATTTTTCCAGTAAGAGTTGCCAAGCTCCTGCTGCCCTGCGCAGGGTGGTACCTGCCAGGACCAACCTGGCCAGGAGCATGGGAACCTCTGGTCACCAGTCACCCAACCTGCGTGTTGCAACCCTGCTCGCTGCCCAGAAGAGGAACCGAGCGTTTCCCACAGCCCAGCAGCGGTGCTGCTACTGCCGCTGCCCGGGGACACACACATCCCCTGCTGCCCCCAACCGCAACGTGATGTCTCCCACTTATAAACCCATTAGCAATCACCCTGCCTGGTTCACTCCCTCTGTGCCAGTGCCTGCAGAAGACAGACACTGCCACCTCTTTCCACAGAGGTCGCTTGCCAAGGCCACGTCTGCGGCCCTCTGCTCACCACCAAGTCCTTGTCTCCCCACTGCTCAATTTACATGAAACAAGGACAAACTTCCATTAAACTCCACCAGGATGTGAGACCTGTACGCAGAATTTAATCCATCAAAAATGCAAATGGATGTGGTCTAAGGACTGGAGCTGACACATCAAAGGCTCAGCTGACGGGCCCTGCAGAGAGTTGCAGGTGGTTGCACACCAGCATGTCTTGAGATGCCCTCCCAGAAATTCACTGCAACTGTGATTCCAGATCCGACTCCTCCGAGCCCTCCTTGCAAACTGGTTTGCTGTTGGGACCTTGGCCAGAAAGCAGCTTCCCATCCTTTGAACAGAGTAGCTGTGGTCATGCTACTAAGCAACCCATCTGAGCCAAAGCTGCTGAATTTTCAGTCTCTTCAAGTCCCTTCTGCCCCCTTACAAGGAAAGTACAAAAGTTTTACATGCTTCTATGCTGGTTTTACACAGCTTTTATACTGTCAGGCTGCCCTAGCATCAGACTGTATTGCTCAACTTCACCATTTTGCTGCAAGGTGAACTGTAGATCCAGTGTCACTTGGCAGAAGGGTTTTTGAAAATGAAAATGTCACCAAAATCTCCTTTTTTTAGGAAGTACAGCATAGCATCACGTTCTCAACCTTGGGCTGGATTTGGGGATATTCTGGAACCCAATTTTTAAATATTTTACACTGTAGAAAAGTATCTACTCAAGCCACTTGAGATTACAGACTATATGTTTTGGTTATTTCTCTGTTCCTGCTGCATTTACCAGCTAGAGCAAATTAAAGGTAAGCATGATGCAGGCGTACGGCCAAATACATTTGAGTTACAAAATCTTAACAGCTACTTCCTGCAAGCAGTCATCTCAACTGCCTGCACCCCTTCTCAGCATGCTCCATCTCCAGGGCAAAACTTGTAAAATTCACATTTTTGCTTCAGTAACCTGTCCAGCTGCACCCAAGCCCATGGAAATGTATGTGATTTTTTTTTTTCCTGCATGCTATTGCAAGCAGAAGGTCATTGCAAAAGAAGAAATGAGTTTAGGTGAAGGTGTGTTGGAGTCTTGAATGTGCTCCATTAACTACTAATAGAGACTGCTGTTAGGAAGGAAATAAAAAAAAAAAAAGGCAAATTTTGACACACTGTACTTAAACACCACGCTGGCCTGTATCAGAGTGAAACTACTGCTGTGGAATAAAGTCAAAAAAGTACGTACTTACTACAGCCATAACCACCACTGCCGAAACTCAACAAGTTGCCATTTCTGTTTCACCTTCTATTTTAAAAGCACATTTTAACATAGCGTTTTGTATATTTAGCTATGGTGTAAGCCTGCAATTTTTCCTTTAGGGGAACAGGCTTAAAGGAAATGCTCATGCATCTATGCAAGTGGAAATGCTTACACAACATCTGCTAAGAGGTGAGACCCTTGCATGAGGCGCACCTGCAGTCTGCGCCACTTCCCAGCAAAAGTACTGCTCTTATGTGTAAAGCTACTACTAGTTGTAACAGTGACTTGTGTGCTTGCACGCCCTGGAATAAACCCAGCCACGCGAAGCGGTGCAACAGTCTGCTTACAAAGCGGCTAAAGCAAGCTGCAAAAAGTTGAATAAACCCTATCAGGGTTTTTTCAAGTGCATGAAACAGGCATCTTGACATACTTGAAACCACGCAGGCTGTTGGCTCACAGCAAACTCCCCATCCTGGTTGCCTGGTATAATCTGGGGGGCACAGTCTGCAGCTGTGAGCCAAGGGCAGCTGTCATCAGAGGCTCTTCTCCCACGCGCTTAAAGCCTTTCAAAAGCAAAGCCCCAGGGTTACACCACTGCACATACCTACTAAGCACAGCCAAAACGAGCGCAGCTTTGGGTCTGCTTCGATTGCATCGCCATGGCCTAAGGAAACCTCAGGGCCTCCCAAGACATCCAGGAGGAGCTGCGGGCTGTTGCAGGCAGGCACCGGCACGCAGGGCTGTGTGCTCGGGAGGTGACGAGCGGCAGGAGGAAGTGACGGCCACGCGCCGCCAGCTGCAGGCAGAGCTTCTGCTTTGCGAGACCTTGCTCCCCACGCGGAAGTCAAGCTGCTCCCGAGGTCTTGGTACAAGCCCGGCCAGCGTCCCCACCTCCAGCATCGCAGCTGCTGCAGTATTTTTTACTAGAAACCCAAATTTCAATCCCAAAATGGACAACACACTCAATGCACTTGCATCGAGGACTTCTGCTGATCCCCATCCGCAGCTCCTCTCTCATTAACAAACCCAGACTGCAAATGCCCCAGCCAGGCACCAGCTTCAAAACAACACGTCACTGGACTGCACATCACCAATCTTAGCTCAGATCTGGCACTCGCTTACAACCCTGCTACTGAAAAGGAAATCAGACTTGCACTCACAAAGTGAATTACGACTTCAGAAATGAAATTACTATCAAGCAGGATGAACCAAGATATAGGCGATCCTGTTTGCATGTTTATTTCCTTGACTTCAACAAGAACTCAAGAGCACACAGCAAGTTTTTTAAAAGCGTAAGGAGCACTAAGGCAGCTGAATTACAAGGAGGTTTATGTTTTAACTGTCTCGGGGTCTTTGAAAATGACTGCCCATAGATCACTTTATATGAGTCGCAGATGTGTTACAGAAAATTCAAATGAGCTCCTGTCCCAGTAAACTTGCATTGTATCCGAAACTGAGCTCGATGCTGCACTGGGTAAAAACACGCTCACCTCCCTTAGCAGAGGCACTGGGAACACCCAAGTGAGAACCTCCACTGCAACTCGCTTTGACGCCACCAGCAATGTCCCAAGCCAGAATGTCCAGCATCATCGCAGATGAGATCCTGCTGATTTATTAGCATGTGTACCCACAGCACATGATGGCTCTTGGGGCGATTCTGCTCTGGAGCCAGACTGTGAGTTTGGAGAAGGAAGTGTGGAAACGCAACCCGGCTCCAAGCAACGTGCCCTTACCTGAGCCTGGTATCAGGTGCCGAGATGCATCAGTTCAGCTGGAGTTGTCCTCTCCCCTATAGGCATCTACCTGGCAGGAGCTGGTTATCTCCGCTGCAGGGTGCAAGGACCTGCGGTCGCTGCAGCCCACCAGCCAAACGTCCTTTGGCCTCACTCGTGCTGCCCCAGCTCAGTGTGGCGGCTCAACCCTCCACTCCTCCGGCATGAGAGCTCACTGCGAGCAGCTGGGAGAAAAGGCAGGGCAGGAGGCAATCCACACGCGGGCTCTCTCTTCCCCTGGGGTCACTGCAAAGGAAATAAGAAGTTGGGAAGTTTTCCAGTTCTGGCACAGCAGAGGCTCTATGCTTTACCAGCACAGGGGGTCTTTGCACACAGAGGAAAGGCAGGTCCCATTGGAGCAGGCAGCAAGGCAGCATCTCAGCCTGGTGGGGAAGGAACAGGCTGTAACGGGAAGGCACTCACTGGCGGAAAGCAAACTACATTCATCTGTGCTGCTAGAAAACCCTTGGTGTGGGTCATGCTCGGAATCTGTCGATTCGGTGGGTTTTTCAGGATGAGTTTCCTCCCCACCCAACTCATAGCATCAGCCCAGCCCAGCATGAACTTGCACTAACACAGAGGACTCGTTATAGGGACTTTGTTTGGGGCTGGGCAGGAGTTTTACAACTATCTGACTATACGTGCCGTGTACTGGAAAACCAGCCTGCGTGCCTCCAGCTGCACAACATCACGTTGTCCGGGATGCTTATCCAGGGATGCTCAGCTCAGACACAACCCAGCACCTGGTTTGCAGCAGGGAGCTGTGTTTCACCCCATCTTCTGGCCTGGTTGAGTGCTGGGGGATGGAGGAGTTTCCCATGCAGATCTCAGTGTCCATCACACTTTTGTACCAGCAGACACATGCTACCAGCAACTCAGCAGGCAGAATATGCCCCTGCCCAAGACAAAGGCACAGTACTAGACCCAACTTCAGCCTATCTAAGAGCACTTTGCTGCCAAGAAGGGATGCAATGGGGGGGGTCCAGGCCATTCCTCCAGGAACAAGCTAGAGTGAAAAGGAGAAGCAGCATATGGGGCTTCGGCCAGGATAAGACCAGTAACACAACATCACCGACTCACACGGCGGAAGAGCTGGCAACAGCAGCACCACCTGAGCCACCTTCCAGCACTTGCGGTTCCTGCCAGATACATTCAAACAGCTAACGCAGTTCAAAGGACACCAGAGCCCCACATATAGCTATCACTTTTTTAAAACAAGTTTTTAATTCTCACCTTAAGCAACCCAGAGAAGCAATGTGCTGGTTTCACAAGTGTGAAATCAAGACATCACCCCAAAGTGCAATGCTTCTGTTTGAAGCCAGCAAGTGCCGGGAGAGGGAAGCATGCGCTGATGCCGGGGAAAGGAAGCACAGCTCACTTTCGTCATGAGCAGCCACTTTAATAACACCACCTCTCCTCTGATCCTCCTCACAAGCACCTGTAAATGGACTTTTCCCACATTCCTGGGCTGTCCTGTGCTGAATTTCCCCGCTGTCACCCTTCCAAGTCAACAATGACTCGGAGATTCCAAAGTGCAGAAGACTTCACACCCTTTCAGAGGTGGCCACCTTTATCATCAAGTAACCTATAACACAGATTACATTATATATACGTTATCACGGAGTAGCTTATGATGTGGCTTACACACATTATAATGCAGATTATGTACACTTGCCTCTGTTCTCCCAATTTGCACCAAGCTTTTAAAGTACGATGGCAAGCTGTGGTCACAACGATGATAATACTTTTCCACTAGACTATGGCAATACCGTGAAACCCCAATACATTGGCCAAATCTTTTAGTTATAGAAATAACTAAAAAACTATGTAAGGCTGCATTTACATGCTACCCACCCCCCAACACTACCAGCGTGCGCAGCAGCGCTGCCATTAAATAAAACCTCAGCCCTCTCCCCACCATCCTTCCGGTGCTCCCAGCACTTACGTCTCACTGTCATTTTCACACACATTTTTTTGCGCTGTGCCTTGGCGCTCAGGTTAAGGTCTTCTGCCCAAGGATGGAGATGGGAGAAGAGAAGCAAGAGGGCTCATAAACAGATTTGCTCTCTTCCCTGCTTATGCTCAGTAAGCCCAGCATTGGTGCTTCTGCAAAGCTCAGCTGTTGCAATGTCAGAAGAGGCGGCTTTAGACTTAAGCTAAACCCTCCAAGCAGAACAGCAACTCTACAAGCAATTCTTCGTCAGCTTCTATTTTTAGACCTCATGGGGAATAAAAGAGCATCCAAACATTTTTTTTAAGCTCTTCTTGACAGGAACTCATCTTCTCCAGACAATAGCAAAAAAACACAAACAAACAAAAAACAGCACAAAAGCCCCCAAATGCATGAGTTGTTTGGGTTTTTTTCCCCCAAAGCATCATTATTTAAATGATTTCTCATTAAAAAAAAGAGAAATAAACTGAAAAATGCAAAAGTCCACCTGCTGCTTTAGGAATTGAAGACTAATCTTCTCTCTGCATTCCCTCCTTCCTCCACCCTTTTTTCTGGTAATGCACTGACCTGGAAAGGAACTGTATAAACACAGAGCTTAGGAACTGGCTGCTTCTGTCTGCTTAAGACTGGAAGAGGAGTTTACATTTCTTTAACCATAAACTTCCAAAATGAAGCTACGACGATGGTGATTCTCTACTTGGACATGCATTCCTCTCAAAATATTGTATTTTATTCTTTTTGATCCATGTAGCAACACCACGGGACACGTTACTCTTCCCTTTTACCATCGCCATGGTCATTCTTGCCTCCAGCTATACATGGCAATTTTAGGTAAGCTAAAAGCTCTAATTACATCTCCTTTTGCTATTTAAAACTTTTCCTGCTTTTTGGCTCTCCAGCCGCTGCCAGCTAGAGGCCACCCACACCTAACACATGCCCGAAGCAGCAGGCTGAGGACATAGGTATCATCAGCCAGGACCCAAGATGTCATCCTGGGCACTGTGGAGATAGCGATGGTCACTAGCCAAAACCAAAAGAACAAGGATGCAAAGATAAGCTATCATGCTGCCAGCACCCTGTGCTCTCCTTGGCACAGAGAGGCAGCATCTCTTTTAAAACACAAATAAGGAAATAACAAATGTACCACTACATAAAGTCACTGGGACAGCCGATGAAATAAATGGGTAGGAAGTTAAAAATCCACTAACAATGAGACGCAGCTTGTCTGTGGGAAACTCACCCAAAATAATCATTGAGGTGAATGATTTATAAGTTATAGATATACAAGTTGAGTTAAAGTGAGACCTACGCTGACCATATGGGTCTTGCACCACTTGCCAGAGCCCCTGGCTGCACCCCATTTCTAGGAGGGGAGGCAGCTTGAGCCATTAGCCTGACCCAGACGCAGACTAATGTCCAACCACCCTAGGAAAATATGTATTTTAAATGAGGTTGTCTGAGTACCACCCTCATTCCTTCAACCATTTTAATGAGTTTAATCAGCTCACACCGCCTCCAAATACAGAACCCCATGCAGTAAATTATTTGTATTTGGCAGAGGACACTCCCTGACCATTTTGCTGGCAGTACCTTGGACTTGCATTACCTTCAAACAGCGTCTCTGGACAATAATGGGAGAGCTGTTGTTAACTTATTTTCTTCTACCAAAGCCCCACGCAAGCATGTCCAGTAATAGAAAACTTCAGGGAAACAAGAAGTATTTGATCCAACACTGGAAAGTACTGAGAAAATGTCTCCCAAAGCTCTTTTGGAGTCTTCAACCATAGGCAGGACAGTGTTAGGATAAACAAATTTTTTTTTAAGGAGTATGAAAGCAATCTCTTTTTAATTATAACATAACCTTTCCCTTCCTTTTTGCTTGTTGATAACTCCTAAATTACCCCAACTGAGCAGTCGCAGGAATTTTTGCTATTTTTTTTGTGCAAAAGCAACATTTTATGTAAACAAGAAAATTTAATGGTTGTGTTCCCTTTGAAGAAATAGTTCACACAAGAAGACCTCCCCTCTTCCCTTCGTGGAAAACATGTTTATAAAATCCAACTGGAGGTGAAAACTCAAGGCAGACGTAATGCTCCAGCTTATGAAACAGCAATGGTCTTGTAGGATACCCTGCTAAAAGCAGCTCGCCAGCTTAGGAGTCAATATAAAAATAACTCGAGCTCTTGATTTTTTCTTTAATAGTGTTGAAATCAACATCTGTGTCATTTGGTCAGGGCTTCAAAATAACATCTTACGACTCACAACGTATTTGGCTGTTACCGCTTTACTGTGGTCAATGTAAAACTAAACCTGACACTAAAAATGTATCCATTGAAACTGCTGCGGTTGAAATAGACACGCAACCTTCCAACCAGGGAAAATGAAATGGTACCGATATTTTGGAGTTAGCCATATTATTGCAATAACAGTTTCTGTACTTTAGATATAAGTGCAATGAAAGGATGCTCAGGGGAGCGATGGAAATGCAGCCGGGCAGGTTGGTGCTGGACACTGGTGAGAGCTAAGTGTGGAAGAGGATGCGAGCCTCCCGGTCACTGGCAAAGCCCTAGTGCTGGTAGCGGGCAGCTGGAGAGGTGCCACGCCAGGCAGTGACCAGTGGCAAAGCAGCATCAGCTCCTGGCCATCAACAGCAGCTGAACCAGCGCCCCTGAAACTGCGGTCCGAGTCCATACCACCAACCACAACGCCGTGCAACTGCGGAGCACATCTCCCTGTCACTGCACGGGGAGTCCCCAGTCCCAGAGCAGAGCCACACTGGTCCCCAGTGCAGTGGGTGTAAACAGCTGGCGCCTTTGCACATGTGCTTGGGGGATAAAATGAGTCCTCCTGCCTACTCCACCAGCCCCATGTCCACACCAAAGCCCCCAATGACACTTTTTTTCCTTGCAAGTGCACCCTCAGCACTTGGGGTATTTCCTAATTAGCTAAACACCAGCCTCTGAAGGGCTCGGCAAGGATTGCTCATGTCACCCTGCTGACGTCTCACGGGCTTTACCACAACGGCAGCACTTTCCCCTGACCCGCGGCAGCAAGGCCAAGCCCCCAGCACGCACCCCTCCGTCAGGGAGAT